CGAGGAACCCCTCAGAGACCGCGCGGCGAGCACCTGCCGGCCACACCTCACCCGGTGGCACCGGGCCTATCCTTCCTGCCAGGGAACAGGAGATGTGGCCTGACCACCCAAAGCCCCATCAAGAGATAAACATGGAGCCCCTGAGGTCTCGGCTGCTACCCACGCCCCCGCCCTGCACCTCAGACAGCCTCCCCAGCCAGCTCTGCTGCCCGGGACGAGGAGAGTCCAGGGGATACAAGACCCCTCCCTAAACAGACAAGAAAAAGCTTCCCTAGACCGAGCCACTCGCGCGGACAGGTCACAGCCGGTAGCAGAGGAGCCGTCACTGCCCTAGAAGAAACCAGGACCATGAGCGTTGGGCCCGGACCCAGTGACCAACTTGTTGGCCGGAGCCTCCTTGACCATGGGGTGACGCTGGTCCAGGAGAGAGGAGGTGGAGCGAGGGGCCACCGATGTGGGCGATTAGACCCAAGTCCCTATGCCCCACTCCACCACTCAGCAGCAGGTGGGGTGGCCCCTGCACCCCGTGTTTCCCCACTGCTGGGCTTACCCAGACCCTGGCTCTGCATGGCAGCTGAGTGGTGCCAGGCCACGGTGCAGTCCACCTGAGAACCCAGTTGCTTCTCACCCTGGGATCAAACCGAGCTGCCGTGGCTGTGTCCTGCCTGCTCCTCACTCCTGTGGCTCCTGGCCAAGTCTGTCCCACCCCAGGGCCTTCCCGTCATGGTGCCCGAGGCCCAGCCTGCTCTCTCCCCAGCTTGGTACATGGCCGGCTCCCCTCAGACCAAACACAGCCTTGGGTCCCTTCCGCAGCCCCCACCTTGTGGGTTGCATGGAGGGCAGTGGTTGGGGCGGGCAGACAGACTACCCAGTTCACACCCAGTGTGGCCTCAGGCAAGCTCCTGACCCACGTGCCTGGCACGGTGTGCCTGCGAGCGCTGTGGCACGGGCAGACAGCCCAGAGGCCGCCGACCTGGTGTCCCAATGCCCACAGGAGACAGCACTTCTCCACATGCATGACCCTGACTGCCACAGCCGAGCCCTGGCCACACCACCTCCTGAGCCTGGAGGAGGCAGACTGGGCCGCCTAGGACAGACGAGGCGGGCCCTGCACCACTCCTGGCCGCCCCACGGTGCAGACTGCTGGCCTCCTGGAGCTTCCTGAGGGAGGCCCGGGGACCCAGATGTTACGTTGCCATGGTAACAGCCCTCAACCTGCTGCTTCTATTCAGGTTACTGAGTGGCCAAAAGAGAGAAACGGACAGTCACTTGGGCCTATGGCGACCTCGCTCTACTATGCGCGAGGGTCCCTTCCTCATGCCCCTCCCAGGCCTGGTGGCCCAATGCTCATGCCGGAGCCCAGGTCTCCTGGACTGATGTCACCACAAGGACACAGGGGCCAGGGCCAGCAACTCGGTGGCTGGGTCCCACCCAACCCTGACGGCTTGGCTCCTTCTATGGCAGTAACGGCTCCTCGTCCCTGCAGAGGCAAGCCCCGCGCATGTGAGTGACAGGCCAGGTGGCAGCAGGCGGCTCCGCGTTTGCTGTTGGCCAACTGGGGGCGGCCGCCGCTCAGCGAGTGGGCCAGGGGGGGGCGCCCGCCGCTCAGCGATGGCGGGCACGGCTGTCCAGCAATGGGCAGAGGGGAGGGCAGAGGGGAGGCCCGAGGGCCCCTGGCAGGCCCCACAGAGCTGGAGTCTCCCCGAGGCCGGGAGGAGTCGGACATCCTATGGCTTGGTGAAGTCTCCTAGTACCTAAGCTTGGCCATTATCATCACGTAGATTTTTTAAATAATCATTTATTTAATTTTATTTATTGTGGCTATTGTCGCTTTAGTTTGACCAGAGACAGAGGGAAAGGTGAGGAAGCAAGTCGCCAGGTCTGGGACTCAAACCGCGGGTGGCCATGTGGGAGCCCAGCGCCTCCACCACCACGCCACCTGCTGGCCCCCTCATGTAGACCTTTTAAAAAATTCCGTGTGGCTGGGACACAGCAGGTCTCTGAGGGCAGTCTCAGTTCTACTCCACCAGGGGGCCGATCTTCACACAGGGGCCCACACCGGGGCGGGGGGGGTCTTCAAAATGCGCATGAGAAACACAGGAGGAAAGAACCCCGCACGCTTTTCCGATCTTTTAGCACCAACGAACTTGCATTGACGTCATTTCTCCATGAATTTTCTGGAGTTCTCTGGGAAGTCGCCCCCAGGGCTTTGACGGAAGGTGGGTGCTAAGGCTGGTGTACTTTTCACTTCAGCTGAAACAGGCCCCCGGACAGGGCCCGCTCTGACCTTCCGCTCCGACCTTCCGGTGCGGCAACCCCCCCCAGCTCCTCACCTGCCCCACGGCCCCCCAGGGGCCTCCCGCACACCGCCCAGGGGCCTCCCGCACACTCATGTGACCCTTCCTGCTGCCACCTCCCAGCCCTAGCCCTTCACGCTCCCTGGCCATATCCAGCCATGCATGCGGTGGCCAAGCCCCTGCCCCTCTGCCCTGCAACATTTAAAAATATCCACCCAGCCTTGCTGCACAGAACCCAACACCCCAGCTGTTTAAGTGCCGCTGCCTCGTCGCCCCACAGGCCTGCACTTGCATCACAGGCGTAAGCTGACCCGGAGCTCCCGGCCACTTGTACCCTCTATTCCAATCACGCCGGTCTTAATTTGGCTCCTTCGTCAAGCGGGCCGTTGGTGAGAGCCCATTCCTGCCCCTACATGGAGAAGGCGGCCAGCTCGGGGGGCTCTGGAGCGGCAGGGCGAGGTGCAGGCGTCTGTGTGCAGGACGAGCATGCCTGCAGCGTGGCGTGATGTCTATCGTAGCTGCCCCCTCCTCCCGGCTTCCGGCCCCAGCGGGCCCCACAGCCTTGCTATTAATACAGTGCAAGGAGGCCCGGTAGCTGGCTGGCAAAACCCTCCCCTGGACGGTAACACCTGCCAGTATGCGCACTTGGGCCCTGGGATGTGCCCCCTGCATTCTTCCCAAGGGGCAGGGCTGAGACCCGCCAGGGGCCCTCTGCTGAAAATATGTCCACTTTGCCTTGGCAAGGAAGGAGACGCCAGTGACAGTGGGAGGGGCTGGAGGGCCCCTTGAAGAAAGCCCTGGGGCTCCCTACAGAGTCCACTCCCCAGCCAGGCCACCGCTGACTCTCAGGGCCAGCACAGTACCCAGCACTGTGTCACCAAGTCCCTCTCTGTGATGAGGAAGTGCCTCAGGGGGCGGCCGGCAGGTGGTGTGGAGGTGAGGGCAGCTGGATCCCACATAGCTGACTGCACGGTTTGAGTACTAGACCCGGCTGCTTGAAAAACATGCCAGGTGCTTGTGCACATGTGCCCAAAACCCCGAGAGGAGAACGGAGAAGGGAGTGCAGACTGGCCATTCCCGGGGGGACTCTCACCGCCCCCAGCTTTCTCTGGCAAGCACGAGGTCAAAAGCAGCAACACCACCGCCTCACAGGAAGAGAACAGAAAAGCAGGCTTAACTCTCCTGGCATGCTATCTTTGGGGGAAAAGAGGGCTGCTTCGACACCCCAAAGGCAGTACAAGTCCAGAGCGGGAGAACTCACTCTGCTGTGCCAAAGCGCCAGGGTCGACACGCTGTGGGTCTGCATGAACA